CCATCTAGTAACATGTAATTGGTGTTTTTTGATTGTAGGAGAGCTGCAGGGTAATGAACTTATCTTTGCATCCAGTTATGAGGAATATGAGGAATAAATTTTAACATCTAATTACAAAGAAAGTGAGATTGTAGAATTTTAATATAGTAAGGAATAATTAAAAAACCAAATAAAAAGCTACCCTCTTGAAAGCCTGTCTTAAAACAAGCCTGTGAAAAAACTGCCTCAGTTGCTCGGACAGTCAACTACAGCCTTTACAGGTGCAATTGCTAACTTGGTTTCTTATAACTGTTAAATGAAAATTAACCAGATGGAAAAGAGACTGTGCTTCAGGTGTTGGCTATTTCACAGCCACTTGATAGGTCTTATAAATTTGTAAGGTCAGGAGAGGTGTTTGTGAATGCTGCGCTAATGGTCTGCAGAATGCCTGCTGCAGTCTTCCCACAATTAATTACCTGGAGTATCTGTGTGGGATTTATTTATATTTTTTTTAATTTTAAATCACTGGGTGGTAACATGTAACTATTTGTGCTCAGGGAAAATGCAATTTGCTATCTTTGCTGCAATGAAAAAACAGTTTCCTGCAACTGCAAAAAATACTTGAGTAACTTTGTGGGCAATCATTAAGCAACAGGTCAGATAGCAGTGTTAAACACTTACTCAGATATGAGAAAAATAAAACTTTCTGAGTTGCCTCTCTGATAGTTGTTCCAATTTTTAGTAAGCGCTCATGTTTACCTAGATAACATGACCCTGTTTCTTCTCATCTTAAAAATTTAGTTTCCATAGGTGTGTGAACATTGACAGTATTATGTATTCAAGGAATAGCTTTGAATAGTTCTTTTTAAAGCTTTTCTAACTTCAGTACGCGATCATGTGCTCATGCCCTTTCTAATTCTGCTGCCATATTTTTTTATTGTGTTAGCTTTTTAAAAATGACATAAATGGGGAAAGAAAAAAAAAAAGGTGGAGTAGCTTTTTTTCCTGCTAAAGTAGGTAACCTTAATCTGACACCTCATGTTCTTTCTGAATGATAGCTTTTGGGGATTCTGATAAACTGTTTTCAAATTGTTCTGTATTTTCTTTTTGTGCCTCGTGTTCTTTCCAGCTGCATTGATTCATGAAAGTTTTCAGCTTGGTGCAATCGCCTTTTTACAACTCTTGTTACAGGGATTGGTCTTTTATGTGGATGGGTGGTATTTTTGCATTGGGCATTGTCTTGTGTTGTCAGTTCTGAGGGAAACAGCAACTTCGTCTTCACAAATTTTCTGTAACTTTCTAAAATGATCTGCTAGTCTATCTGTCTGTGTCTCTTCATCTCCTGAAGTACTAAGATTTGAACTGTCAGATAAAGTCATGGTGCCTTCTGAAAACTCTCGGCTTCTTTGAGGTCTCTCATATCCCTATGTCTAAAATTAAATTAAATTAAAAAGTGACTTTTGAAAACAGACTGTTTTTTTTATAATTGTATTAGGATTTAAGTGACTAAAAGATGTTTTGAAGCTTCGTTTATAAGACCTAATTGTTTCTTTAAAAGTTAACCAGTGTGGCTACCATCTTCTTTTGACTTTCCAAGGCTTTAAGTATATGAAGTTAAATGCACAGAATCCACTGATTGATACTCCCAGTTTTGAAGAATGAGTTGCAGAAATGCTGTTTCTGTCCTCTAGTGCTATTTTTGTATGAAGCTTGTCATTTTAAACGCCTTTGCAAAACGTGTTAGCAGCTTTAAAGTAATTTAAAATATTTTATATTGCTTTTGGTTGTGCATGCCAGCTATTGTGCACTAGGTGTCAGCATTGGTCCACCTTCAGAACTCAATATTGCTTGTTACTGGGGTGTAGACTTGAAGTAGTTGGTAGCTTCCAGAGTTTCTGCGGCGGTTTCTTGGCTGTCTGATTTCACAGCAAGATTGTCATTCAAAGCAGAGGGGAAAGAATGGTTATTTGGGACTTGTGCCAATATATTGATAAGCTAAAGAAGCACACGTTGGTAGTTCCTTATCAAGTTTTTTTTCAACTTTAAGCCTAATGGGGCTCTCACTAAATTCTTCCTCACTAGTTGGCAGTCTGCATATGTATAGTACCATGGAATAAATATTTTGTGGTTTACAAGATCAGACACGCATAAAAATCGAGACAGTAGTTTCCTTGCTTCCATAGCTTGAGATTTCAAGATTAATAATTAGGTTTATTCTTAAAGGGATGAAAACACTTAACTTGGTAAATCAATAGATATTGGAAGTGGTGTATTTTTGTGTTCTTATTATGCACATGAATATAATGCTAAATATCTTCCATAAAATACTGAGCTGTTTAGCTGTTATTGACTGTTTTGACTATTTACTTGTTAGTTCTACTGACAGATAAAGTTGATAAAGAAATCTATCTTTGCTGCTCTTGTTAACTGTTGAACTTGAAGCAAGCTTAAGTTTTCCTTGTAGCAGAAGCTGTCGTGACTAGCTCTATGCAAAATCACTGGCCCTTCTGTAGTGTTGGAGATGTCTACTACATTTTTTTTCCTCCTGTGTTTTTTTTAATCAGATAGATGCTTTAAAGTTTTATTTGATTAAAAGCAAACCTTTTCTCTTTTCCCTTTAAATTTCAGCTTTCAGAAGAAGAAAAAATCCAGCGTTACAGCATTCTTTCTGAGCTCTATGAACGTATTGGTTTTCACCGAAAGTCTGCTTTTTTCAAGCGTATAGCAGCAATGCAGTGCGCTGCACCTAGCATCCCAGAGCCTGGGTGGAGGGCCTGCTATAAACTGCTTTTGGAAACTCTCCCTGGCTATAGCTTATCATTGGATCCTAAAGATTTTAGCAAAGGTAAGTGTCTCTGGGAAAGTATGGATTTGAATCCTAGGTCACTCAACTGGCTTTCTGTAACTAATTTCCTTGAGAGATTTCAAATAAAACCAAAATCCTTTACCTATCTGAAACTAATTGTGGCAAATAGAGCAGTTCTTTAGAATGGTACATTCACTTTTTGTTAGCGTTGCTTTCAATAATTTCAAATTTCTGCGAGCTACTGCTGAATGTGTTGCTGTATTCCTCTGTTTGCAGCAAATAATTACATTTTATTTATGAGAGCTTAATTTCTACTCTGTTTCAAAAATGTCTTTTGTTTTTTATTATACACTTCTCAGTACAAAAAAGGTCATATTTTTGAGTATTTTTTCAATTAAGGTGCCTCCAACTTGTGTATCAGAAATTGTATTTCTTTTGATATTTGTTGTTATTTGATCTTATAATAAAAGAATGAAAGATTCTTTTACATATTTTTGTATATAGACACACATACGTATGTGCATATAATGTAATTATATCTATTATCTGTAGGTTCAAATATGTCATATTTGTCCACAAATTAGATTAGAGGGATGTTGTCTGTACGACTAGCATTTGGTTAAGACATTTCAACAGTTTTTAGATGCTGTATGTAGTTTGAATTACTTTTATTGCATCTATTAAAAACCAGTGCAAAACCAGCCCGTAAGAACACATGCCTATTCTTGTAGCTGTTAAATACTGTGTTCACTTCCTGCAAGCTGTATGCTGCTTGCTGCTGCTCTTTAGGTGAGCTATGTTTGAACAATTCTATTGATGTTATCTAAAACTGTATATAAAGTAATAATTTTAAAAGTTCTCTTTAGTTTAGCATACTGTGCTGCGTTTTGCCTCTAAAGGAAGAGACAGCTAATATGCTGCTTGGGAACTCCTTTTGAGTAAACCTTTCCATGTAGCCCAACAACTTGCATTATTTTTGTATAGTAGCGTTTTTGGGGACCATTCACTAAATGTTGTAGCTGCAGGAGCAGAGCAGCAAGCAATGGGCTGATGGAAAGGAGGTGGGGTTCACCAGTAAGAAAACTCTGAACTGGTTTAAATATGAATGAACAGCAGCTGGAAGAGTCTTCTCCCTTTTGTGAGAGTACATTGACTGTCTATTGTTGGGATTTCGGTTTGAAGTTGTCTTGTAAGTTTAGGTGTTTCCATATGTGGAATTCAATTCAGTCAATGGAGAACACGGAAATACTCAGCTGACCAGCCATTACATGGTATTTTCCAGGCTGTCTTGGCTGCATTTGTGATTTCCATTGATGAAACAGGCATGTAGACAACCTGCTGTATGTGTGGATCTTAGTGGGTTTTTTGTTGGTTTTTTTTTTTTAAACTGGTGTGATTTTAGCAGTCACCGAAAGAAATGGTATGTGAAAGGAGGCAGAAAATGCCAAGTGGACTAGACAGAAAGATACAAATTGTCTCGGAAGAGGGGATGTACTGGAAAAAATATGTTGTGGCCTATGATGGAAAAGGAGAAGACTGGGATGGGACTGTGTTGGGAGAAGAGGTTGTAGAAGTTCTGCAAGAACTGACGATTACAAAAAAAAAAATGACAATTGGTGTTTATCTTTCATTTTTAAGTTACCTTTATGTTGCATTGAAGCACTTTGTCAGATTTTACCCCTAAAATGGCTTTTTCAGAGACATATGGAAAGATCACTGTAAACTGTAAGTACTGCTTGATAAGAACAGTATTTCACACATTAAAAATAAAATGACTGCTTACTTTATAGGAACTCATAGAGGATGGGCTGCAGTACAGATGCGTTTGCTTCATGAGCTAGTATATGCTTCCAGAAGAATGGGCAATCCTGCTCTCTGTGTCAGGCATCTGTCTTTCCTTCTCCAGACCATGCTGGATTTTCTTTCTGATCAAGGTATGATTTTTAAAAAAAGGAGATATCTGCACTTTCTTCTGTCCTACAGTCAAATAATGTGATTTTGTTTTGAAGTATATTTAATTTGAGAAGTAATGGAGAGCACAGAAGTTAGGGAATTCTGTGTATGCATGAGTAATTGACGGTAATCAATCACGTATACAGTGTTACTAGTTTTAAATATTACAGTGTTCCGACCTTGATGTGTAGTATCTAAAATAAAACTGTCTTAAATGTTTTCAATCTGTAGATTGACTGCCTCAAGCCTAATGCTCTATTTCCTTGGTAAATATTAGGAATATGATCAGAGGGCTTAATTTGTGTGTGGATTAAAAAAGTAGTAGTATTTGAAAATACTAGCAGCCTTCAAGCCTTCGTAAGTGCTGTTAATGAAGAGATTGAGAGGAATTGAGGCTGAAAAGTAAACTCAGAAGAGTGTACTGTAGTTCAGAGTGAATCTACTATGAGTTTTCTGATGAGAGATGTTTTCTGATGAAACATTAATAGTCTGGATACAGAAGTCATCTAAGGGAGTAGGCACAATCCTTGTCCCTGTGTTTGAGACAATGAACTTGTAGCAGCTGAACATGATGGAATTGAATTCAACAGTATTTAACTAGGACAGTAGGCTTAAGTTTCTAGAAGTAAGATAAGTTTCTGTAGTTTCTTTCAGTTTGTGGGTTGTTTTTAAATTCAGCAATAAATTTCAGTGGGATTTATTAAATTTGACAGTGGATAACAATGGAATGAATGTGTGTGTGGATGATTTTCAGAAATGGTAATGATATGTGTGAGGACCCTTTTGGGGGTGGGGTGGGCATGTAGCACTTACAAAATCACCTGGAAAAGCAAAAAGGTGACAAATGTTATGTTTGTATTATGTTTTTTAGGAAAAATGTTTCAGGCAGATTTATTTATCACCCAGAATAATGAGACAGAATTAGTGATGAAAGGTTTTAAAAATGTTTTTGTTTCACAGTAAGCTAGGTAAAAGGTGCATACTTTTCAGTTATTCCCTTGTTTATGATAAAGAGGATGGGAGTAAAATGATCCAGGTTTTTTTCCCCTCTTTTCTCCTTTAGTAATGGCCAAATGTCTCTCCTTGGTGACTCCTGCAGCAAAGAACTTTGCTGGCAAGCTTTAAGTCTTTGCCTGCCAGTGAATTCCCTCTGTTTAGTGGCTCAAATCAGTAGTGGAGGAAGGAGAGGAACTGAGAGGAACTGATAAACTGGAATAAATTACCTTTCTGTCTGTAGATCTTATTTGCTGTCAAAAGGTCCTTGGATTTTCCTGGACTTCTAATGAAGCTTTCTTGGTTTATGTATGGGAGGTTTGGCTGAAGACAAGGCTTTAAGCTCTTCTACTACTGTTGTGGTTTAACCTCAGTCAGCAACTGAGCACCACACAGCCACCTGCTCAATCCCTGCTTCCTCAGCCAGGAAATTGTAGCCTTTAACATTGAAAGCAGATTGAGGGAAGAGTGTGAATTTAACTCTAGCAGTTGCTTCTGAATACGTCCATGCTTTCTTTGGATCAAAAATAATTTCTTCCTGATGGTTAATGCTAAGCAATTTGTTGTGGTTTAACCCGGCAGGCAGCTAAACACCACACAGCTGTTCGCTCACTCCCCGCGCCCCAAAGTGGGATGGGGGAGAGAATTGGAAGAGTAGAAGTGAGAAAACTCATGGGTTGAGATAAAAACAGTTTAATAATTGAAATAAAATAAAATCTAATAATAATAATAATAGTAATAATAGTAGAAGAATATACAAAGCAAGTGATGCACAATGCAATTGGTCACCACCCGCTGACTGATGACCAGCCAGTCCCTGAGCAGCGGCCCCCCCGGCCAGCTTTCCCCCAGTTTATGTACTGAGCATGACGTCCCATGGTATGGAATGTCCCTTTGGCCAGTTGGGGTCAGCTGTCCTGGCTGTGCCCCCTCCCAGCTTCTTGTGCACCTCCAGCCTTCTCAGTCAGTAGAGCATGGGAAGCTGAAAAGTCCTTGACTAGTGTAAGCACTGCTTAGCAACAACTAAAACATCGGTGTGTTATCAACATTATTCTCCTACTAAATGCAAAACACAGCACTGTACCAGCTACTAGGAAGAAAATTAACTCTATCCCAGCCAAAACCAGGACAGCTACACATGTCCACATATGATATTGCTAATCCCTAATCCTAAAAAGGTTTGAAATCTTAGAGAAGCAACTTTTGTGTTTCTTGTCTTCAGTCATTATATGTCTGAGTAAAGCTTCCAGTTTCATAAGACCTGTGATAACTGTTATGTTTAGTGTCTTTGAAAAATCAAACTAAATGTTCTCCAATGTGTTTGAAAAACAGCTGAATCTTTTTCTCCTTTTCTGCTGAAGACATCCAAAACAGAACTTACTGTTGTGTTTGAAGTCTTTTATTGATAGCATGTTGCTCAGACATGGTTAGTCGTGTTCCGAACTAGCTAGAGTGTGGATGACAGTGCCAGAAATGTATTTTTGGCTTGTAATTTTTTTGTAATTCTTCTGGGATTGATATCGTAGTTCAGTTGAAGTTGAGATACCGGGACTTCAGAAAACAGGGAAAAAATTGATTTCTTCTTTACTTCAAGTAGAAGTTCAGAAGATGAGATTTAGTAGTTACAGTGAAAGATCTATTAATTAGAAGCTCTTGCTTCTGTTCATGGAATATAAATGCATAGTCAAAACTGGTTTGTGTTTAAAACAAAATTTTCTTATATTTTAATTGAATGACACTTGATAATCATTTTAAAACACAACTTTTGTATATGTTTACTTGAATTACAATTTCCAACCATGCAGCCTGGCAAATCTGAATAAATATCATCAAGTAAATGGGAGATGTCAGTCACTATTTTAACAACATGGAATCTAAGAGTCTGATTTAAAATTAAACTATTTAGTTACATAAATATGTAAAATGCAGTCTTCTGCTTAGTAAAAAAAGGTACCAAATTCTGCATAAAAACTGTCTAATCTCAAGCCATTATGTTTCAATGTTAATAAGCCCTTGAGAATCACTCTTTCTTTAAATAAGAAATAAATGTGCAATTGCAAAGTTGCTTGGAATTAAATCTATCTCTTTTGCATAATGCTTCTTGAAACATAACACTGTGTGTACAGCTCACACTGAATTTGATTTGGGTAAAGTCATATACTTGGAAAAAAACCCCCAGTATTTTATTGTGGATCTTTATTGATAATATCCATAGTACTTAAAAGGACTGTGACTTCTATTGTGTGCAAATGGTTCTGAGTTAGCTCATCTATTAGGGCCTGTCTAAACACGGAGCTACTTGGAAACAGCTGTTATCAAAAAGTGACTGTCCAGACAGAAACCACTTACAGAGAGCATGGGCGTCACCCCTGCAAGGTCACATTCTTTCAAACATTCAGTGGATTTCCAACTGTCATGCTTGCTGTTTTGCTTCTGGTGGCAAGGATCTCAGTGCACTGAGATGACCATTTCTCACCATTCATGGTGTATGTGGTGAAACTAGAAATGCTTCATTCCTTTTCTGGGGCGAGTTCAGTTCATTAAAGATCCTCTAAGTTTGTCTATTTTATTATATGGGAAGTAACGTGCACTTTTCAGTACTTTTCAGTGCTTCTCAGTATACCTCTGCCATTGAGATCTTCCTGTCCTGTGACTGTTGCGCTTTAGTTCTTTCCAGCCTTCCAGTGAGATGACAGGCTTCACATCTGAGATCACTACTGATCTGTCTGTTGTGTACTTAAACTACTGACTCTCTGATTATTCTGCTTTGCATGAAACATGCAGAGGTCATTTTTCATCTGTTGACCAGTGTTCTGGATGTCTTTATTCTTGAGGTGAGTGACAGTAGTAGGTGATGGAGAGAACAAGGTCTAGAAGTACTTCCTGAAAGGTGCTAGGGTGTCTTCCTGTCATTCCTGTGAGTGGTTGATGCTTATATCATTGGACACCACTGTTAGTTCCAGCTGCATCCTCTGTTACCAGACTTTAGGACAGAGGTTGGTTCCCAAAGCAGTTTGGCAGGGATTTGAGATTGTGGAGGCTACTATGAAGGTGCACGTTGGCCTTTTGACACCAGTTCTACCTGTTGGTCCTGGATAGTCAGCAGGCAAAGGTAGCAAGACAAATGACGTTCCATATTTTTTCTTCTCTTTTGGACACAGCCTACGTGATTGTCTGAGACCTCTTGGGACCCTTTAGGTGCTTCTATAGCCAGCTGGATTGTCAGCACAGATACTACTAGAGTATTAGCATGGCCTTTGGTGTCTCAAAGCGTCTGTTCTGCTGCTCTTATCATTCCCTAGATTAATACGAATACTCTCTTTAGAAACAGAACCATGTTGGCTAACAATTTGAAGAACGACCACGTGGCCTCTCATGTATGTACATGTTTACCTTTCAACACCAGAAAGACAGAGGATAGTGGATATCATGTAATTCAGTCTTTCTGTGATGACCTTTGCCTTTAGTCTTTTCAGCAGCAGCAGTGACCAAAAATAAATAGGCTAAGTTCCACAGCCATGGCCATAAAATGTCTGGCAGCTTGGCAAATAAGGTACACTACTTGTTCCAGTTTTGTTGATCTGGTTATCAGGGCTTCTTTGCTCACTAAGTATAAGATTTTGAACAATTTTTGCTTATTTATCTTTCTACCAATGTCATGAAAAAAATTTGTTTTAGCCCTAGGAATCTAAAAATGATATCCTGGGCTTCATTACAAATACCCCTTCCATAGAGGCATGCCCTTCCCGGAGTGGATACTCATCACCCTGGCCACAGTCATTCTGCTGAAAGACATGAAATCTTTAGTGAAAGACTTCCCTTGTTACGACACTTCTCTTCAGCCAGAGGACAGACGAGGTCCTGCATGTGATGAAGGACTTAGCGGGTTTCCTTGCTGTAGCTGGGTATTTTGTCTTCAGAAGCAAACCTTGTCAACGGTTCATCAGTCTCCATTAGGACAGATTTCTGTATGTGGATTTTCATTTTC